ATGAACAACTCAGTGGCATTTAGTGCATTCACCATGTTGAACAACCACCACCACTATCTAGTTCCAAAACATTTTCCCAACAGGAAACCCCATATCCATTAGGCAATTGCACCCCACTTCTTCCTTCCCCAGACAAATCTCTATGGACTTACCTATTCTGAATATTTCCTATAAACGGAATCATACAATACCTGACTTTTTGCATCTGGCTTCTTTCACTTAGCACAATGTTGAGGTTCATCATGTTAATCGTATATTAATACTTTATTCCTTTTTATGAAAGAATAATATTCCATTGTATGGATATATCACAAATTGTTTATTCATCCATTGAAGGACATTTGGGCTGTTGGGTCATATAGTAATTATATGTTTATCTTTTTCAGGATCGCCAAACAGTTTCCTATAGCTACTGAACCATTTTATACTCCCACCAGCAATAAAGGAGTTTCATTATCAAATAGGTAATTCTGTGACCCTGGAAGGTGGAGAGGGTTTCCAGGTACTACCATGGGTAAAATAAGTGAGAATGATCCAGTGCCCACCATAGGCTTATAAGACTGGTTGGCAAGTCTGGGAAGGATGCTGGATAGAGTTGGAAGGCTGTCTTTCCTTTCTTTCCCAAAGCAAGTAGATCAGGTGGTGAAGTCTAGAGCCTAAAAGCCAGCTGGGTATTGTCCTCCAGGAGTCGGGCTTGTGGTCCATCTGGGCCCCAGTGGCTCACAATATGGCCTCTCAAGGGGAGATGCAGAGTGCCTTCTTTCTCCCTGCTCTAGTCTCGTCTTCTCATCTCTCTTCTCTCTTCACTTTCTGTGTCTAGGCAACTGAGTAGGAAGGAAGGAAGTGGGATGCTACATGCATGTTTGTGGACTCCATCCACAAGCCCTTCTCTCTACTTAGGCCCAGGAGGTCATCCCAAAGTTAGGTGGGGTGCTGGGACCCCTCTCCCTCACCTTTATTCCCTCCTCCTCCCACGAGAGGGGACCCACTGGCTTCTGCAGCACCAGCATGGCGCATGCAGCTGGGCCATGAGATCCAGCTCTGGCCATCTCCAGCACTCAAAGGTCAAGGTCGGCGGGGGGGAGTCACCAGGGGCACCTCCGGTGGCCGGGACTGGCTTTGGTGTTGGTTTAAGGAAAGGAGTGGGAGGTCCATTCACCTGTGTTACAGAGTTCTCCTGGACACTCCTGTGCCAGGCCCTGTGGTGGCTTGCCAGCTGAGCTCCACTAGCAGGCAAAGCCTGAAACTGGGCAAGCAAGAAGGTGGTCTCGACCCCACTGGTTCTCAAAGCGTGGTTCCCCGCCCCCATCAGCAGTAGCCACTCTTGAGAGCTTTGTCAAAATGCAAATTATCAGGCCCCTCCTCAGACTTACTGAATCAGGAAATTTGGGGGGTGGGACCTCCCCCGATTTTCACAAGTCCTCCAGCTGATTCTAATTCTTGCTTTGGTTTAAGAACTGCTGCCCTGCCCTGAGAGTGCTAGTAACAGAGAGGGACTCAGTGCTCCCAGTCTGATGGAAGAGACAGGACCCTCGCTGGCCATCTGACAGGGAAGACTTCCTTTCTTCTGACAGGAAGTCTTGTGCTCAGAAAATTCTCAATCAGAGGGGGACATCTAGGTTTCTCAGTGCAAGTCCTTCAGGTGGGGTCCCTCCCTGCTGGAAGCACCACCATGAGTTTCTTTGGAGGGAGCTGGCTACAGTTAGGACCCCAGAGAAACACCCTCTCTTCCACTTTTTCTCTCCATTCCTCAGAAAGTGGGTTTGATGTGCTAATGAGGACATCAATTATTGAGCTTCATTAGCATTCATTACAATTACAAGCAAGGGAGAGGGGACCGCAGGGAACAGAGGAGGGTCTTTTAAAACTTATAGCCTTTTACTCCTCTCCTTGGGGTGGGAGGGGGGATGGGAGAGTGAGACACACTGGAGGAGAGGCTTGAGGTTCCTGGAGACTGGGCTGTGGTCAGAAGGAAGCAACCTCCACCTCCTCGGCTCCCCAACCCAAACCAGCCCCAGAGGCCAGCTCGCTGCCCTGGTCACTCTTTCCTGGGAAGAGGGCTCTTCACAGCCCCCTCACTGCCTTTGGGTCACCCTGGTGGAGTCTGGATGGTCCAAATGGGGCTTATGATGTGCCCTAGACTGTCACCTTCCTGGCAGTGTGCTTTCTCAGGGATCTGGGTTGGGGCCCTCCAAGGTGGCTGAGCGAGCAGTTTGGGGTGTCCCACTATCATTTTCACATCACCTTTTCCCTCGTGGCTTTCCCTAGGGGCCTGTGTGTCCCTCGGCCCATAACCAGGCCCCTTCTCCCTCTTCCTGCCCAGATGTTTGTCCAGGTGCAGCCCCGGCTCTGAACCCCCTTGGGGAAGGAGGAGTGATGCTGAGAATTCTCACTTCTAGGGTGCTCCCTCATGACTTTGCTCCCTTGGTCTCCCAGGAAGAGGTGAGCAGGCTGGGTGAAGTGAGAAGGGCCAAGTGGGTGGTGACGATCTGCTGCTGATCTGCTGTTCCAACATCTCAAACAAGCCAGCAGCCCCCTCCCAACCAAGATGCAGCCAGTAACGCAGGGGAGGAAGGCCAGAGAGAAGTTACCTGTTGAGGAATGAGGGTGGGGGTGGGGTGACACCTGAGGCATCTCAGGTGGAGGCAGCTGGCACATTTCTTGTGCCTGGGCACCACGCCAGCTTCCAGGAGCAATTCTGGCCTCTCAGCTGGAGAAATAATACCTGTGTTTCTCTCACTCTGATCAGAGGTGATGGCTTCCTCCAGACTTCTCCCTAGGAGAAGGAGCTTTGGCTTTTGAGATTGGATAGGAAGGGGAGCAGGCACCTACCTTCCCTGGGGGGTGGGGGCAGAGGATTTGTTGCTGCTATTGTTCGGTTATTAAGTCCTGTCTGACTCTGTGACCCCTTGGACTGCAGCACACCAGGCTTCCCTGTCCTGAACTTCCCAGGAGTTCGCTCAAACGCCTGTCCAGTGAGTCGGAGATACTAGAGGATTGGGCAGGGTCAATGAGGGTGGCTGGTGTCAGGCCATCTGCCCTCAGGCTCAACTCAGGCCTCAAGGATCTTTGTTTCCATTCACAAGCTGTATTCCTTCTCACCTCTCCACAGGACCCATGGAGTCCTGGATTAAGTGGAGGAAATCCTGGATTGAGGGGAGGGGGGCTTCAAATGAGCTCACAGCTATGAAGATGATCAGAAATGTTTAGGATCTGTCTCTAACAAGTGAGCCACACAAAAAACACTACCTGAATCTGATTTAAACCCCTCACTATGGAGTGGCCTTCGTGATGTGGGAGGTCACCCTAGGGTAGTGACTGATGGATGCACCGTCTTGCTGACACGTTTGAAAGTATTCCCAATCTCTGTGGGCTAATTCCCAGAGTCCCCCTCCCCAAACCCCCAAGCCTGTGGCTTATTGGAATCTAGTGTAAAGGCCAGAAAAACCTCCATGTGACAGGTCAAGCATCTTTCCAGTCTTCATCCAGGAGATTATGCCCAGTTCCTCAACTCTGACATAAATAACTAGTCTTAAGCTTCAGTCACGTTCCTGCGTCCAGTTCTCTTCCTTTCCTTTAAGGTCATGAGAGTGCGTCAGATGTTAGGCCTCATCTTCAGGCAGCCCACCAGGTTAGGAGATGGTGGTGGTAATATAAAAGGAAGCTGGGAGCTTTGGAGTCAGGCATGTCTGGATTTGAATTTCACCTTTGCTACTCTTATATTAGGCAAGTGGTTATGCCTCTCTCTATGGGCTTCCCTTGTGGCTCAGCTGGTAAAGAATCCGCTTGCAATGCAGGAGACCTGGGTTTGATCCCTGGGTTGGGAAGATCCCCTGGAGAAGGGAAAGGCTACCCACTCCAGTATCCTGGCCTGGAGAATTCCATGAAATGTATAATCCATGGGGTTGCAAAGAGTCAAACATGACTGAGCAACTTTCACTTATGCCTCTCTGAGCCTCAACTCCTTTCTCTCTGAAATGGGGCTGAGAACAGCCATTTTTGCAGGGTTGTTGAGATGCTTAAATTAGAGAATATGAATAAAGCATATTAGGTGTGTGTGGGGGGCTTCCCCAGTGATTCAGCAGGCAAAGAATGCACCTGCAATGCAGGAGCCACAGAAGACACAGGTTTGATCCTTGGGTCAGGAAGATGTCCTGGAGGAGAGTATGGCAACCCACTCTAGTATTCTTGCCTGGAGTATCCCATGGACATAGGAATCTGGCAGGCTACAGTCCATGGAGTTGCAAAGACTCGGACACGACTGAATTGACTTAGCATGCACGCATATTAGGTGGGCACAATATGGAGAAGAGAGGAGACCTTGTCTCGTGGGCGGGGTAACCTGAGGGGAAAGGGAGAGGCAGCACCCTGTGTGGTTGAGTTGGGGGACTGGATGGAGGAGGAGCAGCAGCAGCATCAGTCCCTAGCCTCTGGGCTCTGAGAGGCTTGGGAGGTGGCGTCCACGCAGCTGAAGGGAAGCCCTTGCAGACCCTGCCTCTACACAGGGCTTGCTGCTTCCCATGCCCATCCTGGGCAGGCAGCCAAGCCGGGAGCTGGATGAGGGCCCACAGCACGCTCAAAGGCCAAAAGATGGGCACCGTCCAGTTGGCAGAGGGAGAGGCAGCTGGCCCAGGAGGGGAGAAGTCAGGGAGTCGACTGCTGGGGTCGTGTGCCCAGACGGTGTGTCCAGGACGCGCTTGGCTGCGCTCCTGAGCTGTCTGACTGGAGTCCCTCCTCTTCCTACCCTGGCTGGGCCACTTAAGTTACTGTAGCTGGAGGGAAATTTCTAAGGGGCATCAGGCAGTGTGCTTGGCTCAGGGCAGGCCTGGGGGAGGGAAGGAAAGTGGAAGAGAGAGTCTTGGATTAAGGCTGCAACTGGGTAGACCAGGAAGTGGGGAAACCGGTTTGCCATTTGGGCCACTTGGGGGTGGGGTCTCCTTTCCTGCCTCTCTGCCCCGCCTGCCACTCTGCCCGGTGGCCTACAGCAGAGAGGTACTGTGTCCCTTCCTTGCTCATCTAAGCTGGCTTTGGGAATGCCAGGAGAAAGCAAAAGGGGCAGGGGTCTTGGCCCACTTTCCCCTCCCCAAGAGAAGTTTGGGAGAGAGGGGACAGGACAGAGAACCGGAGGGAGAGAGGGAGCAAACAACCAGGAGAGGAGGAGGGGACAGAGTCACCTGGAGAAGTCTGTGGAGCCAACAGGTAGGCTAAGGTGGGACAGGGAGGGGGTGGGAGTAAGGCAGGGGTGAGGTAGAGCTGAAGCTTTGCAGGCTTCTTGGAGGTGACCACGGTGTCGCCTAGTGAGGTGTGAGAAGGGGCAGGAGCTGGAGCGCCCTCTTTTGGAGTGCTACTTGGCCGATGGGCAGAGACTCCCCTCACTCACAGCGCCGGCCCCTGCAGTTTCAGCAGACGCCTGCAGGAGGGGCCGCAACCCGAGCGGGGGGCGGGAGGGGACGGGTGGGGAGGGGGGAGGAGACAGCCCAGCAGGGGGCGCCGGGGGACTGGGTCCCCTTGGCCCAGCCAGGTCTAAGGAGCGGACGAGGGGAGCGTCCCAGCAGAGGAGGGTCCAGACTCTCTCTGCATAGGGAGCTGTGGCTTTCGGAGGTCACCTTGGCTGAAGAGTAACCCCTGGTCCCTCCCTGCCCGTACCTCCCCCAATGTTTCTTCATCCCGCGGCGCGCCAGGGCTTGGAGAACAAGTTCCCACACCCTCGAGATGCAGCCCCCTCCTTCGGCTTTAGGCAATTGTCTCTATCATTGCTTGAGCATTGCTCAAGGTCTGAGAAGCAGGTGCAGCGGGGTGGGAGGCCTGAGCAGGCCGGCCCGGGGCCCCCGCCCCCCGCGCCCCCGCCCGATGGGGAACGCTCCGTCCCAAGGCATGTCCCTGTCTCTCTCCTTCCTAATGTGCCTCCATGCTTAAGTGGAAGGTATTTCTGTTTTCTTTGTGTGTTTTCCCCTCGGCCGGGGGCGGGGGCGGCGATCGGACCGGGGAGGCGGCGGCCGGCGGGGCAAGGGGTGCTCGGGTCGCAGGTGTGTTGGGGGCAGGGGACCGCGGCGCGCCGGGCTCGGGAGAAGGACCGGGCGAGAAGAGTGCTGGGTCCAGAGAAGGGGTCCGGCATTGGCGAGGCTGGAGACCGGGTGGGGAGGGCTTCATGAGGCCCGGGGAAGGGAGCCCCGGAGAGGTGGGCTTCAATTTTAAAGAGGTTTGTGCGGGGCAGAGAAGGAAGGAGAGAAGAGAAAGGGGGGTGGATGGTGAAGGGAGTGGGGGAGGGAGTGGTCCATCCGAGGTGGATGAAGAGCAGGATGCAGAGAGGCGAAGGGGATGGAGAGGTGGTGGGAGCATCAAGGGCCTCTCTTTCCCCCCAGGTCCCAGAATGGGGTGCACGCCCTTGGATGGTGGTGGTAAGCGCTTTGCGCCAGCCCCCCAGGGAAGGAAGGGGATGAATGTATTCTGGGATTGGCTGTGTTGCCAGGATACCAGCCTATGTTCCCGCCCCCTTCCCCTTTCCTTCCCCCCCACACCCCCCCACCCTCCCGTCACCTCGAGGCCCTAGCCCTGGAGACCTGGGAGCCTAGGTAGCAAGGTAGCGGTTGCAGAAACTGGGGACCCGCTCCCCTCTCGACTGGCGGGTTGGGAGGGGCCACGAGAGGGAAGGACTGGGGGAGGGGCCATGTGATCTTAAGCCCTCCGGGTGAAGAGGCCAGAGGGCGGGAGAGGGCGCCCCCAGCTGGGGAGAGCGTCTAGGGTGAGTGAGGAGGTAGGGACTGAGGGAAGCTGAGCGGCAGAAGGCGGGGCTGGGGAGGGGCCCCGCTAAGCCCCCCCTCCCCTCCCACGCACCCCCATGCTACGTCAGAAGCTCCTGGGCCAGCTCCGAGTCCTGTCGGTGGGGGCAGCAGGATGCTGGTGGAAGCAGAGGGGGCCGGCCGGGTGCCTCCGCAGCTCGGCTGGCAGGGCCCGGCGGGGCGTGTGCGGCTGCCGGTGCAAGCCCCCCCGCCCCACCCCTCCCCATGCAGCCCTGGCAGTGCCTCCGGCGCTTTGCCCTGGCCTGGTGGGAGAGGACAGCGGAGGGCAGAGCCCGATCTCCCAGGGAGGAGGCCGGACCGAGGGACCCCGGGGGCCGAGGGGAGCCAGGTGAGCAAGAACGGAATGTGCGAGAAGATCCCGGACTGGCAGCCCCTCTTCTCCAATACTAGGGAACCAGCAGGTCTTGTTGCCCCCAACTTGAAGGGAAGTGGGTTCCTGGCTGGAGCCTTGCAGAAGATGTTTGAACTCCTGTTGTTTTGGGAAGGGAAAAACAGATGAGGGCTGGGAGAGGGGATAGGTAACCAGACTTCCAGGCTTGTGAGTCTGAATATTCATTGGTGTTGAGTTTGAGCACTTGGGGGCGGGGATAGGATGCCTTCTTTTCAACTCTGAATATCTTGGTCTGGGTGACCTTGAGCCAACTGCTTTGCTGTCTAACTCCATGCCTCAGTTTCTCATATTCCCTTCCCTATCCCTCTTGCTGTCTTAAACAACTGATGAGGCGTTTGATGGAGACTGTCACTGTGAAAATGTGGGGCTCCGTCATCACTGGTGGCAGCTGTGGTGGTGGTTTCTGGCATGGTTGTGCGTGTGTACGAATGTGGGGGGCAGTTTATGGTTTATGTGTGAGGTCTTCTGCGGGTTGGGGCCACTGTGGGCAAGTGTCAGGGTCCGGCATTCATACAGGAAGGCAGGCTCCGGGCAAGCTGGGAGTTGTTGAGGCAGAGACTTAACTGGTGGCCTAGTGTAGGAGCAAGGGATAAGGCATAAGGGGTGGGGGTTCCAAGAATAAGATTCCCCCTCCATCCAGACTGCCTGGCACCCAGGCACCGTTGGCAGCGAGAGCAAAGGCTTTGCCCTGGCTTCCTGCCACCGTGCCTTGGGGACAAGAGGGTCTTTGTCCAGTGCCCCCCCACCCCAGCCTTGCTCCTTCCGTCCTCACCATAATGTCCAGTTCTCTGCGATGACCCTCAGGGCTGGGATGGAGATGCAAGTGTGCTCTGGAGATCTGTATGAAGCAGCTGTGGTCTTCAGGCAGTGCTGAGTGGAGACCAGGAGCCCTCCTAGGGGAAGGTCCCTGGGAATTGGGAGGCTTGCCCCCCCGCCCCTTACTTTCTGCTTGCCTCCTTGTCTCCTTGCCTAATGAGGAGGGGATGGTGTCTGGGGTCTTCACGGCCTGATTCCTGCTGGGAATCCAGGGTTCCAGGTCTCTTAAATATGTACAGGGTACAGAGTTGGGTGCTGTGATGCAAAGCCTCAGGTGATCTCTCTCTCTCTCTGGCCAGGGACCCACCCTGGAAAAAAGGTTTAATTAGAACCATTGATTCCTTCTTTGGCTGTGGGCATCGATCTCACCGGTGCGGTCAAAGCTGGGGCTGATGGTGGCACGGCTGCCCAGTTCGAACAGGGAGGGGGCTGGGCTCTTCGAAGTATCACATCTGTTTTAGTCCCATCTCCACTCCAGGTTAGGTCTTGGGGAAGGAAAGGAGATGGACTTGAGGTTTTGACCTGAGGGAGCTGTGTTTGGAGTCCCAGGATCATCCCCGAGCTGTGGGCCAGGCTCCGGAAGGGAGGGGCTGCTCTGTTGGAAGAGAGACAGTGGGCCCTTGAGGGGGCAGGCAGAGAGTTCAGGGACAGATCTGGAGCTTGCCATGAAAGCTTTGCTTTCGAGGAATCCCAAGCACTTATCTCCTCCAAACCCTGGCAAGGAGATCTGATTTCTTCCTTCGTGTGTGTCTTGGAGGCCCAGAGAGGGACAGAGACTGCCTCCGAGGCCCAGTGGGCCTGCGATTGGCCTCTGAGCCTAGCAGTCTGACTGAGCAGCCCCTGACTAGGCACAGGGGGCCGAGAGTGAGGCTTCGGCAGCCTCCCACTGGTCTCTGGGTTTGGTGGGAGGTGGTGGACAGGTTGTGCCCCCTAGGCCCTGGCTGCCTGTCATGGGTGGGCTGGTGCAGGTGCAGGCTTCAATGAGCCACTCAGATGCTCTTTGAAGAATCCCTTGCTGGCTTCCTAGGGCCCATTTGAGCAAAGATAATAAAAATCTGGCCGTCAGCGGGTTTGAGGGCTGCATTTGCTTCCCCTTCTTTCATTCCCAGCTCTGAAAAGCGGAGATGAAGGCTTTGGATTTGGCTGGGAAGCTGCGCTTGCCTGCCCCGAGGGAGGGAGGGGAGGAGAGCGGAGGGAGGCAGAGAAGGGAAGACCGATTTCCTGGCAGCCGGGGGATTTGCTGGGGAGGTGGGCAGAGGGGCAGGGACATGGTCCCGGACTCCCTCCGGCCTCGATGGGGCTCCCATGCCCCTCAGCCGGGCTCCAGCCTTATCCTTCAGGTCTGGAGACTGGGAGCCCCCCCTCAGCGCCACTGTTCCTACATTCACCCATTCACCGCTCTGCTCCTCAGACTCCCCACTTTCTTCCCCAGTCCCCTCCACCCCTCCATCCCTCCCGCTCTGCCCTTCCTGCGCTCTCTCCTCTTTGTCTCCCTCACTCGACTCCTGAGTCTCCCCTTTTCTCCCCGGCTGCCCCCTCCGATCTGTCTGTCCGTCTTCTTTCCATAGCATCTGTCCTGCTTTCTAGGACCGACCGGAAGGCTGAGAAGCCAAGTTGGTTGGGGGCTGGGGAGGAAGGGGAGCTGCAGCCACAGAAGGGATGGGCTTGAATGGAGTATTACGGTCTGTCAGGTGTCACAGTTACCAGAGGCCAGGCGGAAGGGGGCTGCTGAGCACTTAGAGATGTGTGTGTGGTGAGGGCGCTGTCCCCCTCCCCGCACACAGCGGGCACCTTGCCCTGACATTGGGCTTAGACACTCAAGTTCTCCTGCCACCTTCTACTGTTTGGCTGCCGGGAATCCAGTGCCTCGGCCTCTGGCCCCGTCTCCCCTCTGATCACCCACTGCCCCAGGCATCATTGCCGCCCTGGCCCAGGGTTCCCCCACACCCACTACTCAGGCTCAGATGGGGAAGGGAGGTGGCCAAGGGAACCCCGTACAGACCCTGGAACCCCTTCACCATCATGTAAGCCCCCCATATGGAAAACAAGACTGTCATGGAAAGAGCACTGGGCTGAGTAAAGAGACCTTCTTAGGATCCTTCGTTAGCGCCCAAATGTCCGAGTGACCTTGAGCAAGTCCCTTCCTGGCAAGGGCCTCTTTCCTCACCTGTGAAATAAGGGGGCGGGCTGGC